TAATTGTTTACTAATTTCCGGCCGAAATTAACTTTTTAATTTTTTCATTACAAAAATAGAAATTTTTAAGAAATAAGTCCGCATTATAGTAAAATTGACCTAGGAACAGTTTTCACTTAATAGGCAGCTGCGATTTCATTAGTAAAATTATGAGTAATTCCGGCCTAATTTTTTGAGCATCGCTCTTAGCCAATCAAAATCGAGTGCATTTTTTGCGGCACCTAGGTTCAATAATTAATTTTACGCACCCGGCATATCTCGTGATCAACTAATAAGAATCGGTACAGTTCGATCATGATCACATGCGTCGATCGGGTATTGAGTCTAGAACCTTTGATTGGCTATTATAAAAATCTTTAATTTTTTTTAAACCTTCTAGCGAAGGTTTCTCAATAGCTACTTGATCGAATTTAGCGAAGCTTTTTTATTTTAATTCTATATTTTTGTAGAATCAAAATAAAAGGGTTTGTTGAATTTGGTTTAACGTTGATTGAGAAACTATCAGTAAAAGTGTAAAAGAAACAAATAAAACTAAATCGGAAAAAATTGAAAATTTCTCAACAACCACCCGTACAAATTTGATAAATTTTTTTTATTTTATTTCTATGCATCTAACAAATATATTTTTATCGAATTTATATGGGTATTATCGTTAAAGTTCAAAACAAAGCTTGGCCACAGCTTTTTTTTAATAGGTACTGGAAATTTAACCCTAACCAATTCGATTGAATTTTTTTATTTTAATTCTGTGAATCTATAGAATTAAAATAAAAAATTTGATTTAATTTAGTTAGGAAAGTGTCGAATAAAGTTTCAGTATCTCTAGAAAAAAGCTGCGTAAAATTTTGTTTTAAATTTTAACAAATATTTCTCAACAACCACCTGTAGAATTTTTGAACAATTTTTATTTTGATTCTGTAAATCCGTACAATTAAAATAAAAAAGTTCATTAAATTTGTACAGGTGGTTGTTGAGAAACCTTCATTTAAAGTTTAAACAAAAATTATTAACTGTAGATTATTTTTTAAGAGTTTTCTTTTTGAAAACTTTAAGCGAAGATTTCTCAACAAATTCGATAAAATTTTTTCATTCTAATTTTACGGAACTACGGAATTAAAAAAAAAATTTACCAATTTGTTGAGAAATATTTGATAAAATACAAACCAAAATTTGGCCGCAGCTTTTTCTAAAGATACAGAAACTTTACTCGACTATTACCTAACAAGGTTCTCAGAATTAAGGTAAAAAAATTTCGATCGAATTTGGTTTGGTAAGTGTCGAGAAATATTTGTTTAAATTTTCAGTATTTATTAAAAAAAAAGCTGCAGCCAAACTTTGTTTTGAACTTTTACCGAAGATTTTCAATAATCAACTATATAAATTCGATAAAAATATTTTTAGCTTAAATTTTATAGATACATAGAATTAAAATAAAGAATTTTTATTAAATTTGTACGGGTAGTTGTTAAGAAATATATTTTTTCCTTAGTTTTCTTTTCTGCTATTTGAGTTTTTTTTACACCTTTACCGATAGTTTCTCAATGAATGTTAACCCAAATTCAATAAATCTTTTTTAATTTTGATTTTACAAAAATATAAAATTAAATATATTAAAAATTAATAAATTCAATAAATTTTTAAGAAACCTTCGCTAGAAGTTTTTTTAAAAAAATTAAAAAATTTTATAATAGCTAATCACAATTAAGGGTTCGTTAGGTCACGGGCTTTTAATCACAATTCTTGGGTGTAAACAAAGTTAATTTTTAAATTTATAAATTTAGGCATAAATTTCTTAAAATATTTTTTAAGAATCCTTGGAACAACTTTTAATCTTCACGAGTATAAACAAATATATTTTTATTCCCTCAATTAGGAAATTTCTGCTGTGAATTTATATTCATTTAATAAAAGAATATTTGTAATATAAAATTATGCGATTTAAAAATTTTCCGATACATAATTTAATAATTTCTTTGTTTGATTTACATAGGTACGTACGTGCGTACGTACTTGCACAGTAATTCATTTGTGAATTTTAATTGGATATTCAAGATTTTTGATACTTAAACATTAAATTAGTGTTACCTCATTGAATTACTTTTTATAGGATGTTTTATATAGAGCTTTACCTAATTTAGCATTTCTTTACCCGATTAATAAAACAGTTTTCACACTTTCTGTCTCGTCAATTATTTTACATCTTACTCTTTCATTTTTAACTCTTCACTTATACACTCTTTACTTGAGAATGTCTGACAATTATGTATTCGATCTTTCTGATATTGAAATAAGCAGTTTAGCTAACACTTTTATAAATGCTTTAATGCTTGTTGACGAGCCAAAATGCCCAGAGATCCCTACCGTTGAATATTTGAAACTCCACTATTACATTGATAAATCATATAAAGGGAATATATTACCTTATAATAAAGAGACACAACTCTCATTACGTTTAGAAGATGAAAAGGTCTCATTACCTTCTCTTATAAAAGAAGATGATGTTTATGACCTTGTTCAAAAATTGAACAATATTTCTGTTTCTGAGAATCAGAGTTATACTGCGGGAATAGTTATTCAATTAGTGACTCGATTTTTAGTGTATTCTTTAAAATTTCGTAGATGTATGTCTGCTGTTCCCAATGAACGTCTTGCTTCAGCTGTATCGGCTTTGTCGGATTATAGAAGTGCTTTGTTAGATCTTGCAAATCCTTTTACGACTTTACCGTGTAATGTTCTTATTACTGATTTCTTAGCAAAGACTCAAGATTTATTAAAATTACCTTTTAACCCGTATGTATTTCCCTATTAATTAACTTTTTAATCAATATTGCTAAAATACAAGAATCCTAATATTTTTAAACAGGTATACCGATCCGACTAACGATGTAAAAGCGTAATGTATCTTAGTCTTTTTTTTATCATTAATTAAATCTGATTTTAACTAAATAACTTCTTACGTGTATTATAGTGCTATTAGTGGTATTTCGCCCTTTCAAATAACTGGTGGCGCAATTCAGCCTTTTGATAATGAAGCTAGTTTTATCGAAAATTTATACCGTCAAGCTGCTGGTCAATATAAAACATTTGATAAAGCTTCTCATATTGCTGGGTTTATTACACCTTTTGGATTTAAAGAGTATATACGTCATAGAATTCCTATGAAACGTGTAATTAATGGAGCGTACATCTGTTATGTGGATCCTCTGAACAAAACTTACTATTATACTACACTCGTTCTTGATGAATTTCGGTTTAAAATTCTAAAAAATCTTTTAATTTATGAAATTACCTCCGGAAAAGCTGCGTATATACACAGTGCTTTGTATTTTTATATGAGCATGTGTACAAGTGAAGAAGACTTTAATTTAATGAAAGAGTACGGCGTTATTTCTTGGGGCTTTCCAATGAAAGGCTATGAAAAATTCCGGGAATTAATGGATGAATTATTAAACATGATGTATTGTTGGAAATTTTCGAATACATGGTCTTGGCATTCTGAAATGGTTAAAATCGCAAAATTTAAAGTTAAAAAACAAGATTCTTCTAATTGGAATGATTTTGCTGAAACTTGTTATACTGGAGGTTTATTAAAGCAAGTGGTTGCTTCGGCTTTTTTTAAAAGTCTTTCAACATAACATGATTATTTATATATATATCTTTTCTGTCTTTAAATATTTTTTTTGTATTTTATTTATAGTATATATTTAATCATTTGTAACATTCATTTACATTCATTTTTTATACCTTGCATTTACACATCATTTAGCATTTTTTATCATATTGCATACATTGTATCCCAAATATAAACCTATCCCATTTAACCATTGGGACGGCCCAGATGTCAATTTGTTAAAATTTCCCCAAATTCTTGACTTAAATTAACTTATTTATATTGTAATTTAGGCCAATTGATATTAGAGACAAATTATCATCTGAGGCATAACATATATCACTTATTACATGTATGATCTATAAATTTATTGAATTAACTATAATCAATATTTACAGCGTATTTGTAAAGAAGTTTGGAATAAATATTATGTTTATTGGATTTTTATTCATATTTTAAATATGCTAAATATTTTAATTGTTTATAAAATTTAAGTAATTATTATGACCAGTTGTTAACCATATACCGTTAAAAGTGTTATATTTGTTCAAAATAACGCGCATGCTAGTCATTAAAATAATGCATGCCTACTAAATCACAAGGATAGATCACGGCTTAATAACTTAATTTACTATAAAAATGATTTTAACGTGTACAATGCTTCTTTTTTTTCTGAATTAGAGTGGACAACCTGCATTCTAATATTTTGTTTTGGCCTTCAAAAATTTTTAACTATTAGACCCGATATTTTTCTTTAAAGTTATAAAAAGACTTATTTTATTGTTAGAAAATGTCAAACCACACTTGAAGATTTATTTCTGAAGCCAAGATCTAAAACCTACAATTAATAGATGCTTCACTTTTTAAGCTATGGGATAGTTGATCAAATTTAATGTTGTAATGGCTGATATTTCGTGAGATTAATATTTGTAAACATGAATTCAATATATTCCAAGAACATGGCATCTTCTAATTTTTTTATTAATATCAAATTTTATTCTACTGAAAGTTCACTGTAAAGTATATATGCTGATGCATTTTCATGAACCTAGTTTATGACAAAGACCCAAGGAAGTTAAAGAGATTCCTTAAAATGTAAATTTTCTTTATTTGATTTATTATTTAAAAAAAATTCACAAGAAAGTCATAAATAAATAAATTAAGACAATACTTTATAAAGTACCGTAGTGCATTGCTAAAGCACCCATTTCTTTGTATCCAGTTAACATACCCGTGTATTCTACATAGTGTGGAAGGCAAACCCGGAATTTTTCTGCTGTGACCCGAAAATCCCGACCTGAATGATGCTATATTCCCAGAAGAAACTGCCATGAAATCATTCCCACATTGTCGCAAGTTAGCCCATATGAAAGAAATCATAGACATACCGACATGACATGAAAATTTCTAATAGACTTTTACGAAAATACTGTAGTGAAATTAGTGTGAGGAACGAAACTAAAGGTGAAATCGTTAGTGATGGCGAATGATCAAAAAAAAATAAAAATCCGAATCTTTCTTTATTCAATAAATGAGACAAAAGTGCCATAATAATACATAGACCATCGTTTCAAGCTCATAAAAAAATCTCTCAGTCCTTACAAATCGGTTCGCATAAGTGTTTTGTTCTCGTAATATACCCGATATACCTTATTATTGCTAAATCATGCCGCCTCTATTGAGTATACTGCGTAGTGGTTATTTTTTTTTGGTGGTGATTACTTGCTCCATATTACTTCCCCTTCGCCTCCCACAATGGCATACCTTTTTTAACTGGAATAATACCCGATTACTATATCAAGATCACGGGGTATTATTATTACTAATACCCGGGGATTTTGCAAGGTATTTTTCATACAACCACATATTGAATTCTACATTACATATATAAACCTTATAAAGTATCCCCAATACAGTATACCGGATCTTTTAGTTAGTGCACTAAGGTACATCTACCAATAAGTTTTTTTATTTCTAATCAAAGTATTTAATTTAATATATTTAATATTTTATATCAATTTTAACAGTAATTATTTAATATTGTATTTTAATATGCATATAAACTTTGTTCATGTTATACAAATTTTCTATGTCTTCGCTAGTTAATTACTAAGAACAGGCAATTGGGTTCATCTATCGAAAAATGAGATATTGATCGGAGCTGATTCATCCAAAACTTGACTATTATTGACTTGTTAGGTTTCCAAGAAGAATTTTCAATTTCAGGTATTTGTAACTTGCTCAACAAGATGATCAGATACCATTAGCGAATAAAAGAAAATACTGGTGCTATGGGCTTGTATTGTCTATTATGTATCAATTAAACAAATTAAACAAAACCAATTTGCAAAAACTTAAATTAAAATCAACAAATATACTGTAGTTGATTTTATATTGAGTTGGCCATTCTTGAAAATCATTTTTTAATTCGTTATAACATGAACTCCTTTATACATATTATAAATATTATAAATATAATTATATTATATATAAACGATAATATTGTGTTTATGTATGTGCACCAATTGTTGCTTGATAAACTTTGTTTTCTCATATAAGCCATAAAAACAATTAACATTAAAATTTTGAAATATGGTGTAGCGTAAATAATGATATTAATAAATTTGCAAAAAAATCAAATTACTACGTATTGTTTCTCACAAATAATATTAGTATTTAAGGTCATTTGTTAGAAATAACAAGGCGATTTTATATAAATGACTATATAGTTATTATATAAATATCAATAATGCCAGTTGATGAATATTTTTAAAAAAATTATTAATACAGTATTACAGCATTAAAAAAAAAAAAGATCTCTGTAGTGAACATTAAAAATTTTGAAGATCATTAATTGTAAAATTAAATTCGTTTGCGAATATATTTTAAAATTTTGAATTTTTAAAATATTGCGTGCAAATAAAGGAAAAAGAATTATATAAATCTAGAAAAAAAAAACTTTATAAAACAAAGCTTAATTAATTCGAGGACTAATTCTTATTTTCAACTCTTTAACACTACTAGCTGTTGCAGCAACAATCTTCAATGGCTCGTGAATATTAACCAACTCAACGTTATAATATCTATAAATTGATGCCATAAGTGAAAGTATCTCTGCCATCGCCAGCTTTCTTCCAGGGCAGATTCGTGGACCTCCACCAAAGATTATCAAAGAACTTTTATTTTCTAATCTTTTGTCATTATCTTTATTATAAAATCGATCCGGTTTGAAATCCTCTGGATCAGGCCAAACTTCAGGGTTACCATGTACCCCTCTAGCATTTAAATGAAACATTGTACCAGCAGGCCATTTGTATCCTGCAACTTCACACTCTTCAGTCGTGTACCGAGATATAAGATTAAATATCGGTATCAAACGACTAGCTTCTTTGATTATAGCTTCACAATATTTTAGCTCCAAGAGATCGTCACTTGTTAGATAAGATTTATTAGGAAATTTAGAAAAGACAGTGTCAATTTCTGAAATCATTTTTTGCTTTACATCCGGATGTTTGCAAATATAATAGGTTACATAACAAAATGTATTGGCAGTCTAAATATAAGCAAATAGGTTGCAATAAAATAAGCAAATATTAAATAAATTATAGGTACAGTAAATGGATAAAGAACATACTACTTACACTTTCAGTTCCACCCACGAATGCATCAAACAAGTTACCTCTGATCTCTTCATCGGACATAGGCTTAAGTGTTTCACTTTCTACTGTTTTTACATTAGCTGTATCCCTTTCAGTGTTTGCAATTATTAGAGAAGTTAGCATATCGGCTCTTATTTCTGCGCCCACTGGCATTTCTTCAATCTCTTTTCTTCTCTTTTTGACTATGTGAATAAATTTTTCATTTATATAATCACGAGATTTTAAGTAAGAATTTGCCGTATTTCTAAAGATTGGAACATAATGCCTCAATAATGGGCTAACCATCATGAAGAACGTAATGCCTTGGAAATAATATACTATTTCTTTGACGAATTTATTTCCATCTTCGACCAGCGCTTCAGGATAATCAGACTTGACTGTACTTATCGTGTTGTAATAGGAAGCAATTGAATATGTACGTTCGCCGGTGGTTATTAATGCAATAACATCATTTGAAAATGCATGAAAACATGCAGAAAAGTCTGTTTCTAGAGTCCAATTATCACCATTATTCTTATTTTGCTTCCCAAGGGATTGCCAATATCCTCTTAATTCTTCAAACAACTTATTTGTAGAATTTACAGCTGAATCCATAAATCTAGGTGCAAATAATGCCAGAGTAAAGAAATGTTTATTATATTTCCAACTATCATAAGCATCATTTCCAGCGACCCCATTTCCGAAAATTCCAATTTCAACTAGACCTTGAGAATCTGGAAACCTTCTTAAACATGTCGGTGACATAAGTTTTTCAATATAATCTGGTCGTGAAAGTATGATACATCTACGTCCATCAAACATTATTTCAGAAACATCTCCATATTTTGTTCGACATTTACTATAGAATTGTATTATATCATAAACAAGGTTATGAATATTTCCAATAAATGGTAAGGGTAATGGACCAGGGAGTGGATTGGGACGAGTTAAGTGTTTATAATAAAAGTTAAAAACATAGGTAGCGAAGATTATGACGAAAAAAAGGAGATAGTCTTTGATACTAAGGACTTCAAAAATTTTTTGAATAAACATTTGAGTTATGTCTTTATCGTAAAAGTTCTTGATGTACCTGCTTTGTATTAAGGAGTCAGGTTTACTATTTCACTGACCTAGAGTTAATACTTTACAATGTTTTATATCCGGATGTATACGGATATAATTACTATGTTTCACTATAAATTTTTAACGGATATATTTATATCCGGATAGAAGTATTAACTCTACAATGACCGTAAATATTTACCATAGGGTTTTTTGCCCAAAAATTTATCATATAAAATAATGACCTAATATTTGTGTATAAAATGCATTTATACGAATAAATTAAACAGAGACTTTATGTAAGATAAATGCTATAAATTTATTATAAACGCATTGATCAAATTCGCCTTATGGATTATACTTAATTTAAATGATATTTAATAAAGCAGAATATACTTGTACTAATTTTCATAATTCAAATAAACTAAATAACTAGATGTTCTATAATATTCAATTTTGGGTTTACGTAGTTACCTGGTTATTAAAAAAAATTTTTTTGCACCAGTGTTACAATCAATCCGTAACATTAGCATTTGATTTGTTAGGAAATGTATATTAACAATTATAAATTGGTCACTATGTTTTGTTATTGTATTACATAATGATGATGATAATCCTGACACGATATTTATTGTGCAGCCACGTTATTGACGAGTGCACTAAAAAAAAAGCAATCATCTACCGCCATTAAACACCCATGTGAGTCAATATTATGAATTTTAGAAGTTTCGGATTTTTGTTTTGAGTTTTTGGGTTCAATTTTTTTCTTCTTTTTTTTACAGCTATTTTCATTATTTTTAAAACTATGAAAAATTTTGACGGCCGAATCGATAAGTAATTAAGTCGGAATCAATAAGTTACTGACATCGGCCGACATCGATTTTATCGATTCGGCCATCAACAATTTTTCAAAGGTCCCAAAAATAGTTTCTGATTAGACCTTCCGAAACTAGTTTCGGGAAGGTTTCATTCGTGTGCCCAGTATAAAGTCGATCATCGATTTAAAATCGGTTTATACCATTCCTGGTAATTAATTGATTTGTGACATCTCAGTGTGCTACATATTTTTCAAATTGTTAAAATATTCAAATTTATATAAATTTCGGAATAGAGTAACAACTATTGCTTTATGGAATTTTAAATAGTGTTATTTAGTAACATTAAATACATATACTTCCTAAGTGCACGTCCTATGAAAAGCCTCTAAATGCACGTCTTCTCTTGGGCCCAACTAATATTGCGCTTATAGATTTTTGCCTTCCAAAATACAATACCTCTCTATTTAGGGAGGTCTGATTGTATCAGACCCGCGGAAATGTATTGTCGACTAATAATGCAAAGCCCATTTGCATACACCACATTATTAGAATTTACAAATTTGCTTAAATTTCAGAATAGATTACATATTATAGTTTATGGAATTTTTAATAGCATTGATCGATAAACTTTAAATACTTTCACATATTCTTATAATGTAGTATATGACGAAATATCGACTAAATGACCTATACAATATCTTCGCATTATTCTAAATGTCCAAATTAGCATAAATTTCGGAACAAAATAGCCAATAATTGTTTATGGAATTTTAAATAGTATCAATTAGTAACTTTAAATGTTCATATATTCTTCATAATGTAGTTTATGACTCGTAGAAATGCCTTGCCAACTAAATAAGTCATCAAATGTACAAACTTGTATAAATTTCGGAATAAAATAGACAATTATGTAATTATTAACTTTAAATATTCGTATATTCTTCATAATGTAGTACTGTATGTGACTAATAACTCATCAAGTGTACATACTTGCAAAAATTTCGGAATAAATAGACAATTATGAAATTTTAAATAGCATTAATTAGTAACGTTAAATGTTCATATGTTCTTCATAATGTAGTATATGACTCGTTGGAAATATTTTACCAACTAAAGTGTACAAACTTGTATAAATTTCCGAGTAAAATAATGCAAAGGTCACTGTATGCACAAATACTGCTTCCGAATCTCTATTATAAATAGTGAATTAAATATATGGATTAAATTTGTAATTTTTCTTCAATAATGATGTTCCAAATGATATTACCAAGACACAGAAAGACAGAGCCAAAATTATTATGGTGGACTAAAGTTTTCATTTCACTCCTCCTGTTAATCGTGCTAATTGTATATGCAATTGGGTTGGTTTTTTCTATTATTTACAAAGAACCTTCAATTCAGTATTCTTACCGGAAATTGGACACGATAGCACTTCCAAGTATTTAATAATTATTATTATATCTTGTTTATTTTATATTTAAAATAATTTAAAATATTTAAATTTTTACAAATTTTAAGAATTTAACCTTTCAATATTTGGGAACCAAACTGCAGATTGCTATATTGGTAAAATACAATTTGCTAATCCTGTTAGAATTTAGTTGATATTAATGGTAAAGGTATTGGTAATTGTTCTACAAGTTTAAAAAATAAAGGACCACAGGGTGGTCTTTATATGAATGGGAAGGATACTCCGACTTATGAGTACAACTTTACTCCTTCTGAAAAGATGAGTAATAATGGTGTATCCATCAGTTGGATTTATAATGGTGAACTTGGAGACTCTGTGGTCTCTTTATTATATTTTGATATAGGTGAATATATACCATTTTTTCTAATATTTAGACATTACTAAGAAGTTGAAAATTTTTTGGGACCATATGCTATAATTAAGAAGAGAAACAAAAGATTTTGACCTTTTCAACCTTCTTGCATTCTGATATTTTCGCTAATAAAATAGGATTGAATGATATCCTAGCAAAATGGAAAGACCAAGTTATCGTTAAAACGTTTATAAATAATATCAGTGGTAGCATGATTATACAACCTCGTAAAGTACGTATGTATGTATGTTCATCAGTTTAGACTGATTATTTATTAATAACACTGTTATCCTTTTAGATAAATCGCATTTATGTTAAATGGTTTAGAAGAGTGTTATTATATCGCGATTGGACAAATTATTTAGGTTATCCTCAAAAATATGTTCAAATTCCTTATATATGTTGTAGGTGGAAACGGAATTTAAGCGGATTTGGAATTTTATATTAAAAAAACCATTTTGTCATATGTACATACTTTAAATTCGATATTTGGGTATACTCATATAACTAAAATTCCGTGCTGAAAACTTTTGTTTAGAAGTCAAACTACGGTTATCATAGTAAAATCTTGTGTTATTTACGATTTTTTTGTTTTTCATCGAGAAAACTGAAAAATCGTAAAAAACTCAAGATTTTACTATGATAACCGTAGTTTGACTTCTAAACAAAAGTTTTCAGCACGGAATTTTAGTTATATAAGTATACCCAAATATCGAATTTAAAGTATGTACATATGACAAAATGGTTTTTTCTAATATAAAATTCCAAATACACTTAAATTCCGTTTCCACCTACAACATATATAAACAATAGAACACCATAGGTGTTTTTAGTAAAGTATTGTATTTTTGCTAATATAAATTTAAAATTTACAATTTATAATGTTATCAAAATAATAATAATAATAATAATTGGATTTTTTCCTATTAAAAAGATCTTTTATGATTAAGCTTTATTATTTTCGTAGTTTATATACAGTATAGCGTAAAAAGAGTACAATTAGTTATACAGTATGTATATATTACAGTATATATATATATTATATACAATAACTTCACTATCTATTTAAATTATTATCTTCTGATTACATCACCATAGCTCACGAAAAGCTCTAGAAATAGCAATTTATGCTTTTATAAAAAATAGAAGTCATTACTAGCTATATTGTGAAGATGATTTTCGCAAGTAATACAAACACCTAAAACGGAAATAGCCAATCAGAGATAAATCCGCTTAGTAATAATTCAGTCAAAGTGATGATTTGGTAGTGTGAATCATTAAATCGAACATTTAGCCTGTAACATTACAAGTTGCACTTGTTCTATATCAATATTGGCAAAACAGTATTACTGTTTTAACAATTAATTTTATTGTCTTTGGAATCTGGAGTTTCCCAAAGAAAATTTTTAGCAAACCTCGTTTCAACTTCAAAGTAAAGTTGTAGAGGAGTGTCTTGCGAACAGAATGGCGAGATATAAGCATTTTAGTCTTCGCGACTTTATGTTTTCTTTATAATATAAAGAAGAAACATATAGTCGCGAAGACTAAAATGTTTATATCTCGCGTTCCACTGGACCGATTTTAACGTTTTAACCGCCATTTCTGATCACAAGATACTCCTCTACAACTTTACTTAGAGTTGAAAAGAGGTTTGTTTAGTAAAGAAAAAAGGTTTTCTTTGGGAAACTCCAGATTCCAAAGACACAGTAAATATCACCACTTTTTACTATGTTTTGTCACTAGCTCTTTATCCAATGTGCAAACAATTAGCTCTCAGTTGCTCAATTGTAAAGATTGGATTTGACTAGAACTATTTCGAATTATTTGGAATTATTTAAACTATTAATTAGAACAGCCTAAAATTTTCTTGACCGCTAACCGTTTAATGCAACTGGCATCAATATTGTTCTCGGTAATTTCAGTGGCAACATAATTCGGTCGATATAACAATAATATTCTCCATAGCACAAGATTATCTTTAGTAAAAATTAAATCAATTTTTATTATTAATTATTGGAAATTCTATAGATGAAAAATTATTAAAACTAAAAAATGTTGTACTATCTAAACAGATGTTCTATAATTATTAAATAATTGACTCTTATCCGGAGATCAGTTGAAATGTATCGGATAACCAGTTTGGCTCCTTACCTCTATAGAACGTCTTTAGATTTGCTTCAGACAATAAATAAAAAATAATCTAGATTTTCGCCATTTTCGCCTTCTGTCTCGCTGCAATCTTTTCCTAAAATATATTTTAGGTTGATTAGTCAAGATTTTTAAAATATTTCTAAAGGGTTTATTAATATTACCTTTACAGTGTCACCACCAAATACCATGCAAATAGTTTGCCAGACACCAAGACAAATTCTAGGGGTTACACCTCGATAAAACCCTTTAAATCCATTATTTTTATATATATATTTTGCAGCTGAGGCAATCGTCATCTTTGCAGGTCGGTCAGGTGATTTCACTTGAGATTGCATTTCAACACGAATAACTTCGATTGGCTTTCATTGTAATTATAAGTCTAATTATTAAATAATTAACATGTAAATAACAAAAATAATAATGTCATACCTGATTCCAGCAGGACAAACCACCACCAATAGCACTAGCTAAAATTTTTTGAAGCGGCGATAACGGTCGACTATAATCTACTGTTTCACCATCACGAATTCTTCTAATTGCCGTTTCACCAAGTCGTGTCAAACCAAATCTACTAGCCCAATTAGTACATTGTCGTAGGGCAACAGCATTGACACCTTTATTAATTCCGCGAATCCCTTCCTTTTTCCATATGTCCATAGCAATCTTAACACTCGAAACTTGTTCACTTGCAGGAGCTTTGTGACGCGTAACTTCAACAGTTTTCATAAAAGTACAAAAGCCCATGGTAGTATATGCTTGTGCTAAGCCTCCAGCCATTCCACCAAAAATACCAGCCTAAAAGAACGAGAGCAGAAAATAAATGAACATTCTTTTATTAAATAAATTAAATAAATATACAAACCATAAAAGGTGAGGAACCAAGAACTCTTGCATGATATTCAATCTCACTTGCGGTAAAGATAAGTGCTGCACCCTATTTCAAGAAAGATCAACATTTGAAACATTTAATGAAATGAGATCAAATATCTTTTACCTTAGTACTAGATTCGATCCATGCCCACGGTATTAGTCCTTGATAAAAACCTAGAATACCACCCCTTTTATATGTTTTTTTCAATGCCATCATAATATTATCTTTTCTATTAGCAGCAAGATGAGTTTTGACTACTTCAAAAGGCTGTCCAAGTGTTGATATCTCAAACATGTTTAATGCTAAAAAAAAAAGATTGATGTGTAAACTTTTTTAAATTCCAATAAATATATATCTGCTTACAGAATTACAGAATGTAAAAAGTAAAGCATACTTTACCAGCTCCAACAGCTAGGTTAATAAAGCTTATTGGTTTTTTTACCAGCTTTCCATCACTCGTCTCTATAGCGACTGTAGCAACAGGTGCCATTTTTTTTTTTTAGCAGAAAAACGAAAACGAAAAGTTCGATAACTGTCTCCTAGATTTACCGATGATTATAACTTCAGATAGTGTAGTACTACATAGTACAATCTGCACACATGAAATATATATAAACAATTGATTGAATTTTTCCTTACCAATACTCATACTCAAATGGTATACATTAATGATTGGAACGAATATCAACAGGCAGTAGAGCAGCTTTATTTAGATTCACCAAAAGAGGTAAAATATTTTTCAATAACTATTTATATTTCATTATGAAAAATAATTTTTAATTTTTCTTTGGAACGAAAGACTCGATATGTAACAAGCTGGAAGCACTCACAAGGAAAATTGGTTCTTAAAGTCACTGATAATTTCAAAGCACTCAAATATAAAACAGATCAAGCAGCAGATTTAAAAAGATTTGAACGTTTGAATCGATCATTAATGTTGAAAATGTTGAATCGAAGTGAGCCAAGCGAAGGTGAAGGTAAAATTCTGATGATTCACATATTTTTAAGGTTATTTTTTATTCAAGATACTTTCAATAATTTTTTTTATAATTCAAAATAGCACCAACGTCATCGACGCCAGCATCACTCTCACAACATTCACATACTCCAGAACAAGCCAATCCAACATCAACAATAGCTAGCGCTGCTGAATCACCTGCTAGTACAACTACAACAGGACGAGCCCAACCTTCTTCAAAAAAGAAAGGGAAAAAAGGACGGTGAATCCAGTGTCTAAATTCAATACTGAACTTAGGTGTTGACTTGCAATAAAATAAATTAATTTCAACATTTTAATTTTTTAATTGTATACAATTTAATAAAAGGTTGAAGGTAGAGACTTTTAATTCGCCATTTTTGGAGTATTTAAACCTCCAAAATAGCAAAGCAAAAATCTCGCTAATTCAGAATGCTGTCAAAAAAATATTTATTTTGGATAGTTTGACTGATTGAAAATAAGGCTAATAATAATTCAATTATAAATATTACGATTAAGTTTATATCTGACCGTTGACCATTATCGATGGTTCTACATGCTGCAATGATCACTTGACTCTATTGTTCTTTTAATTACCTTCTACAGTCACGAGGCACGAGTTAATAAACAGACCAATTACTTACTGTAACATTTCAGCATTTAGAATTGAAACCGTACTTACTTAATTAGTTAAAGAGTGTAACATTTCCATTTGTACGAATATGAATAACCGAGGAGACAACAACACTTTTATAATCTATGATGGAATATTTAACACTTATCGTGCTGTCTGCGTTTTCCTTAATTATTATAGTAAGTTTAATAAAAAAGGTTTTGACTGAACATTAGTCATTAAAAGGTTATATTTAAGTGACTTAAATAGATAACATTTATAAATTATTGAAATTATTTTCAGTTTTTCATTTTCTTAATAGCAAACGCGCCAAAACCACGAGCACGAACAGAATCAGAAAAGTATTACCTCTCAGCACATTTAGAAAAACGACTACCATTACCAGAATTATCAGATGAACCCAGTTACAATTTATCAGTTGTAGTTCCTGCCTATAATGAAACTGAACGAATGCCTTCAATGTTACGCGAAACCGTTGATTATCTGGAAAACAGAAGACTTAAAGATCCAAGCTTCAAATATGAGATCATAATAGTTGATGACGGGAGTACTGATGGTACATCCAAAATAGCATTAAAGTATGGAAAGGATAATCCACACGTAGATTTGAAAGTTTTGACTTTGGAAAAGAACAGAAAGAAAGGTGGTGCAGTTACACAGGTTAGCATTATATTCTTATAACTTATTAGTATTATTTATAATAATTGAAATTTTTACTAGGGGATTTTATCATCCAGAGGGAAAACTATACTTTTTGCGGATGCGGATGGGGCTACAAAGTTTTCTGATCATGAAATTTTGGAAAAAAGATTATTCGAAGTTATAGACAAAAATGAATTTGGTGTTGCTGTCGGATCAAGAGCACATTTGGTGAATACTGAAGTTGTCGTAAAGGTTCTTTTTTTTTTTTTATTATGAATTCTAATTATATTATTATGTCATTATTATTATTAATTTAATCTAAATTACTATTATTTTTGCGATTATTTCTCATTTTTAGCGATCATTGATCCGAAATTTTCTTATGCATTCTTTTCATAAAGTATTATATATATTAGGTATTCGTGCGATAAAAGATACACAGTGTGGATTCAAGTTATTTACTCGTAAATCAGCTTCATATATATTTCATAATATGCATGTGGAAGGTTGGATTTTTGATATTGAAGTTCTCCTTATTGCTCAATATTTTAATATGCCGATTGTTGAGGTTCCAGTAACTTGGCATGAAATTGATGGCTCTAAAGTGTCATTGATTAAGGATTCAATCAAAATGGCAATGGATTTATTAACTATTCGATTATGTTATATTACTCGTTACTGGAATATTTGTGAACCACTACCGAGATTAAAGCGTGATTGATTAAACATATAGATGATCGGATATTATAATAGTATTACCCCGAATCCAAACTTATACTGGAAAATTCCGGATCAATCATGGTTTTACTGGACCAGGATTAACAAATTTGTCTAAGGTCGTTCAAAAGTTTACTAATGGAGTAATTACCCAGTTGGCAGATATAGTTGTTTGGTATTACTTAATTCTGGCTCAGTATCGATTAATTCCGACCTGAATTTTAGGGAATGCTCCGTAAAAATCCGAATTCACGTATTAAGAATAATTTTTTTAACAAAAATTAATAAAATATTTTTTAAATTTATTTTTATACGTATAGAAGGTATATAGCTAAAACTAATAATATTTAAATTTTTATTTCAAATTTTTAAACCATTTTTTGTATTATAATTTAAAAGATAAATTTATTTTTAAAGTTTAATAAACAAAATTTGTTTAATACAGTATAAAAGAATGCGATTATAGACAATAATAAGTGCTGCATGACTCATATTTTACTAAAAAAATGTATACAATGATCGATATATGACATGATTAATTTTATTAGTACTGTAGCATGGAAAAATCAGCTCGTACTAAAAAGTGGACATTCTAAGAACCAGCAGTATTTCGGTGAACGGGATTTCGAATCATGATTTGAGATTCGCGAGTCCGCAGTTTTAGAGTCTGGTAACCAAATCTTTTTATAGAACGTATGTTAGAATAAATTGATGCCAGGGACACGAAAAAACTTTGGATCCAAATACACAGGTTGAATTAATGAATATCGGGTGCATACCGGGAGAAAAGTTTCCCGATATGTGCCCGTTAATCTGCCATAGATCCGCCAAATAGCTGAATATCAGCATAAGATATCAGGAGGTAGATCGATATCGGTAACATAACAGCACAATATTGGGATTCCCTGATATCTTACTCTTAGCACTCTGGGCCTAAAAGTAAGATATCGGGGTATCCCAATATTTTGCTGATATCGATCTACCTCCCGATATCTTACCATATGGGGTCTTTGCCTTGAAAATGACCTTACAGGACTATGTAGATTTTATGAATAAAAATTAAAATTTCTAGCTATCCAGTCTTTGCAGAAACCTTTGATTTTGCTAAATGTGTTTACTATATAATTATTATATAATAAAAATATAATTAATATATAATTAAAATATAGTTAAAATATTTTTTATTCTGTTAAATTACTTTTAATTAGCTTGTTATTATCTTATTATTAGCCAATTATTATCTTATTATTAGCTAATTATTATAAAAAATTAATATATATATAATTTATTAATAATTTAATTAATGATCCACCACTCAACAGGTGCATGATCTTAGTAAAATGTGACTCAGATTTCTATATAAATTTACTATAGTGTGAATGTGGCGATCGCACAAGGTAAACTTTTTTTTGTACTAAGGTAATTATCTTTTGCTTAAAAGACTTTTGTAAAGCTTGTCAAGACGTATCTAATGGTAGTTAGAGCATCAAAATCGGCTTGGTGAGTGTCGAGATATCTTTAAAAAACTGTTCTTTTACTATGTAAACTATTGTTTGCAAAGAAGTTTACATAGTAAAAGAACAGTTTTTTAAAGATATCTCAACACTCACCAAGCTGATTTTGATGCTCTAACCATCATTAGATACATCTTGACAAGCTTTACAAAAGTTTCTCAAGCAAGAAAGATGATTACCTTAGTACAAAAAAAAGTTTACCTTGTGTGATCGCCACATTCGCACAGGATCTCTAAATACGAGTATGTTATATATGTAAACCTTGTCTTCAAACCTTATATAAATATACAAATAAATTTTATTATTGAAGTATACAATTGCTTAAATTATACATTTAAATATACGACAAAAGTTTAATATAAGTTTTCTATACTTTAATAAGTGTACAAATAAAGGTAAACCTAATATTAAACTAATG